CCCCAAAACCCCAAAACCCCAAAACCCCAAAACCCCGTGTTGCAGTTTTAAGTATTTGATAGATAAAAAATATTCCTAATAGAATTATATTTGTTAGAAACAATAATTTGTAATAGTAAACATTTTTCTCTTTCTATGAAATTCATTCTTAAATAAGGAAAAGCTGATTTACCTTAGGCTTTCTCTTTGGCTTGTAGTGAGTTCTATCATAATGCCATTTGTAAACCTATTAAGGCGTAAGATCTAGTTCCAGAGATAGTTTTTCAATTGTTGATCTATCCCAGTTATTTGACTTTTTTAAATGTTACTGCAACGCTCGCTATTGTTATTTGGTTCTTCTCTGCCTCACAAATCTTAGTTTTGGCCTTATTTTCGGTTATTACGCTGCTGTAACATTTTTCTCAGCTACAGTTATTTCGCTACTCATTTTAGTGATGGTTAGACTGCTAAGATGGTGAGAAAAAGCATAACCGTCTTCTTCATTTTAGGTCTATATATTTTTCGACGCTATTTGTGAATCCAAATCGCTAATTGGATCTACTTCGCACATATACTTATTCATACTGTCTTTCGTTTCAACTCTACCTATATTGCAGGGCTTGGAATGGCAGTGGGTCAAAATGTTTTTTTCAGTGCCATTGAATGTATTGATCTAATGATCATCATCAAACTAAAGAGAACAAGGCGCATTCTAATTTTGAAATTCTTCTGAAGTATTTGAATTTATTTAGTTATACCCTCTGTAATACTCTTATTCGAAATTTATTATAAACTCAGGATGAGCTTAGTACTCATGGAAAAATTGATCGAACTCATCTCTAAACTCTATGTTTAGTGCATCTGAACAAAAGTCTCCCATTATTAAAATTCTGTTATTATTTATTATTTCCTCTGCTTTACCTAAAATATGGCATGAACTTTTAACAAGTGTCGCACTTTAACTTTTCTTGAGTAATTTGTAAGTATAAAGTAGATCTTGTATTATGATGGTTGATGAATTTAGATTAAGTATGGCATTCATCCTTGTTAGACTCTCAATTTAGTCTATTAGATGGTTAAATAACAGGTTTAAATGAATCCTGATTTACAGTTCAAAGTTAAGGGTATATACTTTTAATATGCATCCATACAAATTTCGAATTTCTTTAAGTTAATTTAGTTTTTTGCCAGAAAATTTATAAAAATTAAGAATATTTAACCTGATCGGTATGATTATATCTCTATTTCTGATCAATTCCAGCATTAGGGGTTTTGGGGTTTTGGGGTTTTGGGG